GGGGGAGAGAGCGAGAGGTTAGGGAAGTAGTAGAGATGCTGAATAGTAGATTCTAGATGTGTTTGAAGGTAGGAAAAACTGTTTCCTGAAATAGTTGATGTTGGGTGAAAGAAAGGGAGATTTTTGGTCTGAGCAAATGAAAGTATGGAATTTCCATCAAGTATGATGGTGAATCCAGTTGATGGAACAGATTGGATGGGGGAGATTGGGAATTTGGTTTTGTATGTGTAGTTTGAGATATTACTTAGACTTCGTAATGGAAATGTAGAGTGTGCAGTTGGATATATGAGTCTTGAGTTCAAGTGAGAGTTCTAAGCTAACACGTAACATTATATAGTATAGAAATTATTTTATAGTAAGTATAAAATATATGGCATTTATTCTTTAAGTTTTCTTCTCCTGAAATAGGGAAAATTAATGATTGGAATTTCTTTTCTCGTAGAAGCTCTATTTCCTGTTTAAAGAATTGATAAACAAATCACTTAAATTGTTTTAAATTTTAAATGCAGGTTGATTAAGTGTTCAGGTGTTTCTTATAAGACCTTTAAAATAAAAATGATCATTTGTTGATGAACACATGCCAAAATAGAAAATTTTTCAAATGAGAAGATCATTGAAGTCTATTTTGTATAACCTTAATAATCTCTCATTATGTAAATTAATAAAAAAAATTTGTGATTCAATCCTAATCGAATTCAGAAAATGGGATGAAAATGAGGGGTTCTTGATTATAGAGTTTTGGGGCCTAATTTACTAAAAGTCACTCACATCTTCCAGGGTTTTTTTTCTTCTATGTCTCTTTCAAGAGAAATTTAATATTACCTAGGAAATTGAATTGGTCACTGTTTCTTAGATACTGTATTTTGTGTGACATATCTGATGTCTTTTTAAAATTAATGATACTAAGGAGAAAATGGTTATGTCAGTCATTGACATAATAGTGAATTGACGTATAGTGTTTATTATTTCATTGAAAAAGGTTGTTTCATTTGTTTCACTCTGTTTAGAAAAGGAAGACCAGTGTCTCATGCCTGAAGCTTGGAATGTGGACCAGGGAGTAATTACCAAACTCAAGGAACAATACAAAAAGGAGAGAAAGGGGAAAAAGGGGGTGAAGAGTAAGTGGAAAACATTGTATCTGTAATTCATAAATCTTGCCTCTTTCATATCCCCCAATTTTTTTTCAATGTTTTCCTAAAACTACTTACTCTTTTTCTTTTCTACTCCTGGCCTCTTTCCTTTTCACTTGCTCTCAGGGGTTGAAATTAAATGGTTAGCTATTTAATTAGGAACTTAAAAAAAAACCCAAAATAAAACAAAACAATGCATATTATTATTGAATCATAGTATATTCCAATAATAAATCCAGAGCCTCATGAGAGTGTGGGACTGTATTCAAACATAGTGATGATTTTATTTTTAAAAATATATGTGCTTAATTACAATAATGATTTTTCATTGTTGACAATTTTAGATAATTTTAAATCTCATCTAGTATGACCCTCTGGCAATCCACCAAAATTATTGCTCATAATTTTAGAATTTAGAGACAGAAAGTTAATTTCTACCCCTGAATATCCTATGTGTTCATAGCACACAGTTCATTTGCTTTCACCACTATATGCTATACAGGGCACAGATACACAATTTCTAAAAGTATTTATTAATTTAAAACTTTTGGCCAATTTCATTTATAATATTACCAATTCGCTTTTTTCTTTTCAATAAAATGTGTGCCACATCAAAAACAGAAGCTTAAATTTCTAGCCCTGTGAATCATATATATATAATTCATTATGCAAATTATTAATAAAGTTTGGCAATAGATCTAGTTAAGCATGTAAATGGAAATACAAAAACTTTCAAATATCCCTGAAAACCCCTTTTTAGGAGAGCAAGGTAAAACTATCTCCTTGTGTTTACACTTATTGACTGTATGAACATGGGTCTATCTTTTATAAAAGGCAATAGGAGTTTTACCCTCTGGGATATTAAAGTAGCGTAAAGTGAGATTAAAATCCAGTTTAGTGAAACATGCATTTAAAAGTTGCAGAAGACTGGAAGGATATACTTTTTTCTTTTTATAGTATTGTTAAAGTTTATCAAAGACCAGTCACTCCTGTTAGGACATTCTTTCAAATCCCAGTAATTACTGGAAAACATTTAAATATTTATTTAAAATATTTTAGGATTTACAGGCCTTTAGCTTGAATGGATAAAAGTCAGTGGCTATTATTGATGTCATCATTGTAACAACCCTTACATAAATGAGAGATGATGTCATTTGATGTCTTCTCAATATAAATTAAATCAATATAAATATTAAAACAGTAGAATATTTTGTACCTTTTATCCAAATAAACTGATAAGAAAATTAGTCTTAACAAACAGTACTGAGGCATGATTTGTTATTGCTTTTCAGAACCATAACAAAACCTGTTAAACTGAAACTTTGAGGAAAATTTGTGTATCATACATGAGAAACAAGAATATTTTAATTTTTAGGTTGATTTAAAGTTGATATATTTCTTTCACTCATTATGCTACAATAATGAATGTCTTGAAATGTAAAAGATCTTTAAATTGGAACAGTATCAGGACTTATGTAGAACTCATCTACTATTATATCGGTTATTCAGTTCTTGTCAAATATCAAGGCATTGCTGTAGTTGAAATTTAGCACTTAAGATCTAAAACTGCACCATTTGACTGGAACAGTGTTCCTATTAATAGAAGTTATTCGATTTCCTGAATGTGGGGATTATGATCAGTATTCAGGCATAAAGCACAAAGTTTTTTAGTATGATGAGGAAAAAAGACTATGGGGAGAAATTTTAATGTCTTTTACTGAAGCTAGAGAGACTACAAACGGTTCAGCATGTTTTGTTTCATTGTCAGTTCCTGTTATGTGGATAAATGGTAGTCTGGGAACAAGCCAAAACAGAACTGAGGCAAAGCTTTGAATGGCTAAATGAAGCATTAATTTATAATCTGGAAATATCTTATTAATTGAACTGTGTACTCATTGGAAAAGTTTGAATTCTTTTAATATGGTCTATTAGAAATATTTCCAGTCAAATTGTGTACTCCAGTCATACTGTCTTGAAATATATTTTTAGATATTAGTTAAATTGCTTATGCTGGTGTAGGAAAAAAACCATAACGGACTATGGGTAAGATTTCCCATTCTTAATTAAACTTATAACAGGAAAAACTACCGAAGATCTGTTTCAGCCTCTATCCTATATAAAACAGTCAAAACAGGGATGTGGGAGAATGAAGAATCACATTTCAGGTAAGTAATCAGCAGGGCATGAGGCTTCACCTCGGGTACCATAGCTTCAGGATGTAAGGCGATGAGTGCAACTTAACTTAAGCAAACCATCAAAAAGTGATGTTATTGTTTAATTTGGTACACAGCAGTAGCTTCACAGTCTGCGGTGTCTGTCTGAATTTAGAACAATCTGCAAGAATTATAGAATATTATTTTTAATGGTTGAAATTGCACATTGAGCATTTGTCCATACAAATAGTGATGTTATTCCATTAACTTAATTTTTAGAATATATGTAAAATATAAGTCTTTTCAAGAAATAATAAACTTTTAAAATAATTTGAAAATTTGGAAAATAATTACTTTTTATTACAGTACGGTAGATTTAGAGGTGAATGTTGGCAGTTGTGAATAAGTTTATGGCAGCATTTTAATGCAGTAGGATAATTCTGTTTCTTCTCTTTTGTTCTCTCCCTCCCTTTTTGGGCTAGGGCCCAATAGGTCAAAACTACAAGATATGCTTGCTAATTTGAGAGATGTTGATGAACTTCCCTCATTGCAGCCATCTGTGGGTTCACCTTCCAGACCCAGCAGCTCCAGGCTTCCTGAACACGAAATAAATAGGGCAGATGAAGGCGAGTATTTAAGACACTCTGGGGCACAGAAAGCACTTGGATATCCATATCTACATTCTTACTAGAAAGGGCTCTCTAAAAGAAAAATTGTGTTCTACCAATATTTGATCTACATGTTATTCCCCAAATGTAGGTTTTCTTATATTCATGGGGCTTGATTCCAACTTCAGTCTTTACGGCTTGAAAAGGGGTGCATAAACTTAAAAACCATCTTCAAGTTCTAGTTTTGAATTATCTTTGCAATTTCAGATAAAGCCTCCGTAGCCTGTGTGTACCACATACACTTATTACTTTATTTTTATTTTATTCATTTAGGAGGCAGTGCCACACTTAAGACGCACTACAGCCTTAAGTTCTAAGGAATTTTAGAAATCAAATAAGATTATGCCTCTTGTTGCTTTCTCTCTCTTCATCCCTCAAGTGTGCTGGTTTAGCCACTGGTATGTGTTTTCAGGCTTTATTTGACCATTTCTAGAACATTAGCTAAATTAGCCCAAACAATATCTATGGTAAAATCCCACAAATCTTAGTCTTTTTTTGAAAAGTAAATTTTTTTTAACACCTAAATAAAGTTATCTGAAAATATTAGAAATGAAAACAAAACAGGCGAAACACCTGGCTAAAGACGTAGTCTTATTGTCTTGCATGACTCATTTAGTTGAAATTTTGGCATGAAAATTGCTTTTCTAATTTAAACAATTCCCTCATCATTAATAAATGTTTAGAGTTCTTTAAATTCCCTCAGAGGATATATGGTATGTTTTGGTAAAACCCATTTTTGTTACTGCTGCTTTATTCTATGGTGGTGTGAAAGTGTCTTACTTAAGTTGTACTCTACTTTGTTCTTATAAGGATTTTCAGTAGAGTTTCTGCTACTACTATTTTTAAAAGAACATAACTATTCTTTCATTTCTTTGACGAATATTTATGACTGAATGAAAAATTATAGGAATGAGTCTGTAGCTGAAAAACACCTTGTAAATTCAGTTTTCTACGTATACTAATTAGTAGGTTGATTTGCTACTTTTAAGAAAAATTTAATTTACTTATTTAACAGCGAAAGTTTAAACTACTAAATTCATCTAATAAACTCATAAATGTTTGTCATCAGTAAAGTAACCACCTGTAGAAAACTACTGAAAGACCATCTACAGTTTGTCAGAATAATTTGCATTTACAAAAAATGGCATTTTATTATTAGCCAAATTAAGTAAAATACTTATTTTATATAATAAATTTGGCATTTTACTTTTAACTGGTTCTTCTGTGATGGTGACTAAAGAGGTTAATTTGGTGTGTCCACATTTATAGTAAGGATATTTATGTTTATCATGAAGTAAATCTGACATCTTGAAGCATAGTTGAAATCTAAAATGTTCAAATGGACACTTTAAGAATTTTTGTTTGAAATAAACATTCTTAAATGAAATATAACTTACCTACAGAAGACTGCTGAAGTCACCAAAGTGTAGCTCTGAATTATTACAAAGTGAACCCAACCATGTCACCACTGTCCTTAGGTCAAGGAGCAGAACATGACCAAGGCCTAGAAGTCCTACTAGTGCTGCCTTCTAATCACTACCCTTTCTCTCCTTTCTAGAGGTGATCCTGATTTCTGTCACCACATAGTTTTGCCTTATATTGGCACATTTCACAATTGTAACCATTTTCATTTGAAATTTTTTATATTCCTCCAGGTTATAGAATTAACAATTTTATTTGAATGAGAGTAGCAATGTTCAGAATTGCTTGTTATATGTGATTAATAATGATAGAAATAATTTTGGTAATTAGCATGAACTATCAGATGAGGAAACCTGACTCTCCCTTAGACACATTGTTTTTGTGTATAGTGAAAAAGAAAGGACAGTAAGTATTAGATTTGTTTCATGTTTTACTGCCCGTGTGCTGAAGGGTCGTGGGTTCGATTCCCCTTCAAGGGCATGTATCTGGGTTGCAGGTTCCCCCCCCTCCTCAGGGTGCTGTGGGAAGCAGCCAGTTGATGTGACTCTCTCACCTCGATGTTTCTTTCTCTCCCCTTTCTCTCTCCTTCCCCCCCTCCCCTCCACTCTCTCTAGAATCAATGGAAAAATACCCTCGGGGGAGGATTAACAAAAAAATCAAAAGTGGATGTGCTCTTATGACACTAATTATTGACCCTTTAGAGGTGTTTTTATGTTTCCTTTGTCTTCTTTCAGTGGAAGCACTGACATTTCCTCCTTCTTCTGGGAAGTCCTTCATCATGGGAGCAGATGAAGCGCTTGAAAATGAACTGGGGCTTGGAGAATTGGCAGGCCTTACCGTGGCCAACGAAGCAGATTCACTAACTTATGATGTGAGTGGTGATTGTGTTTTGTTCTTTTTACTCATTTTTGAAAGTAAAAAGTTAACTTCATAGAAAAAGATGGTAATAAATGAGTAAAACTTGACAAGTATAGAATTTTGTTCATGAATATATTGTAAATATAAACAATATTTTCCACATCATATAGAGATTAAAATTATGGGCTTTACCTAAGTCTGTAAATTAGTATAGCTCGTTTATTGGTTTTAGATAAAGGATTTCCTTTTCCATTACTAAGTTTGGGGTTTGTTTTATGTTTTAGGGCATCAGTGGTTAATTGAAATTCATGCCTGCCTAACAGTATCATTTGTCTTGCTTATCTAGTACATCAGTATTCTGCTGAGAAGTGATTTTAGCTGTTAGGCAGGAATGTGTACAGGGTGCTCTGCAGGCATTAAGGTTGACCCATGAGTGATTTGGACCAAAGCTGAAATTTCGTACCTTTATGATTCCCAAGCACAATTGTTTTATAAATGCATTTGTAGCCCTAGCTGGTTTGGCTCAGTGGTTAGAGCATCGACCTGTGGACTGAAGAGTCTCGGTTTTGATTCCAGTCAAGGGCGAGTACCTTTGTTGCAGGCTCGATCCCCCACCCCATTTGGGTCATGTGAGTGTGCAGGAGGCAACCAAAGTAGGATAATATTCTATAATGTTGACATGTTTAAAGATAACTTAGGTTTTCAACTCCTACCCAAAATTAGTTTTTGTACTATAATTTAGGTTGAAATTACTTGTTGTTTTTAATGATCCTAGGGAAGATTTATTTTATTAAATTATTTGAACCTTTTTCTGTACTGAATTGTTACGTTTTCTTATTATAGCATTCATAATTCTTCAAAGAAAACCACTGTTGACATATTGCAAATTTTGCCTGTTGATTTGGTTATTTACATTTACAAATTATATTGTTTTGAAAGTTTTAAAATGTGATAGTTTAATGGCAAATCAGCAAGAATTAATGTTGAAATATAGCTTTTTTTCTCTATCCTGAACTAAATGTATAGGTATTTTTCTCTGGTTTCTTTAATAGATAGCAAACAATAAAGATGCATTGAGGAAGACCTGGAACCCAAAGTTTACGTTAAGAAGTCACTTTGATGGCATTCGAGCCCTTGCTTTCCATCCCATTGAGCCTGTTTTGATAACAGCATCAGAGGATCACACATTAAAAATGTGGAATTTACAGAAAACAGCCCCAGCCAAAAAGTGAGAATATTCTATTTTAACTTTGAGTATTTTAATTAATAGATTTTCAGCAGAAAAATACTTTATTATTTACTATTAAATTCCCACATCTCTCTTCTAGTTCTTTCTTCTTCACCATGCCATATAATTTAGGGTGTTTTCCCCTTTATACTCACTATCTAATATTAGGTTGGAAAACTGACACTTAGGGAGAGATGGTATTATCTGGTTTCTCAGGATTTGTGAATCCTTATTATACTTCTTACACAGTATTTTAAATGTTTGTCATATTTGGGGAGCCCTTTAAATGCACTGAAGGTTTCTACTGTTGCTGTAAACAGGTATAGAAAAGTTTAAACATCAAACCCCCACCCCAACCCTGTCCCATTGTTTACAAGCTTTGGACTTATGGAGTGGAAGGGAGGGAAGGCTGATTGGGAGGGGTGAAGGACTTCTCTTTGGTCTTGTTTTTTGGCCTTGACCCTTTAGGTACTTTCCATACCCACCAAGAGGTCTAGACTGAAGGCATGTTGCTGTCATTTAACTCCTGGTCTTGGCCTTGGGCCCTTGTTTTTTCTCTAGGCATGGACAGGTGTGAGTTGGTGTAAACCCTTGGTCAGTCACCAAGCTAGCCCTGATCCCACTTGTTGGCGTCCTTATTGGAGCTATTCTTCTTTCTTCCTTGGATCACATGGTCCAGAACTCAGCATCTGATAGCAAGGGCCCTTCTATAGTGTCAGGCATTTCTGTTAGAAGAGTAGAAATGAATTTCCGATGGAGGAGATTACAGAAGTTTTATTACTGGTAGAGGATATCTATTGCCCCGTTTGAAAGAGATCAGTGATATTCCTGCTGTGAGTCATACTAAACTAGATAAATACTTGATTTATCGGTCTTTATCAGTTAGCTCCACTAGATCTTGCTAAAACCAAGTGAATCCTCTCTTGGATCAGATATCTTCAGCAGAGAAAAATTACTTCCTGGTTATAAATTGTGCTTTTTTCTCTTTGGTTCTTTGGTCAGAATGAGCATCACATCAGACTAGAGAATGTGAATGTCTCATCATATATTCTTGACTAAATTTTAGAAAAATACTGAAACAAGTTTCTCGCTGGTGACAGTTTAATAATAATACCTCCAAATATAAATAACTGCCCTGTTTACCTTTGAACTTAAAACTTTGGAAGTGACTTGAGAGAGATCCTATGCCAAAAAAACGTTGCAATACATTGTAGAAAATGGTATTTTACTTGAAATCCAGTTTCTATTAGCAATCATGGCCAGTTTTGTACTGTAGAGTACTCATACATTCAGTGTTCTGAGTAATGAATGAACTGATGACTTGGACAATTTCTGCAAATATCAAGGATAGACATATTGGAAATTATGGAAAGTACCATTTATTGAAATTCTATGTACACAGTCCTGTCCTAGGCTGTTATACTTGTAAAATCTCTTTTATTCCTGTATTTGGTGTTATTCCTATTTTTTTTTGTTTTATTTGAAACATAGAGGAATGTGAAATTCTGAAAGATTAAACAATTTGCCTAAAGTTAGTTAATAACAGCACTGGAAATTGAACCCAGAATTTATGATGTAATTCAGTAATACTATTTACTACTGAAACTTTGTCTTTTCTCTCTGATTTAGGAGTACATCTCTTGATGTGGAGCCTATCTATACATTCAGGGCTCATAAGTAAGTATGTGCTTTTTTAAAAAATCGACATCACTATAAATCAGCCTGATTAGAATATTTTATTTTCTTTCACTTATGTATTTGTGTTATGTATTTTTGTATTACTAGCTTTTTTTATAATTGTAAGAGAAACTGGCAGATAATGTTAAAAATAAGTTTATCGCTACCAAAAGGGGATTCTTGCTGAAATTAGATTTTATTTGCATGATGTTTAAATGATGTATATAGCTTTCTTAAAAGAAAGTTGAGACACTTAGGTTGAAATATTAGAAATCCTGACCTTTTTTCCCTTAAAGATAACCTATATAAAAATATCTAAGAATTTTTTATTGTGATCACATATTACTTGCTTTTCCTATTTTCCTATTAAGCTTAAGGATTGTACATAATCACTTGCTTTGTAGCAGAGTTCTCATACTTTATGTAAAGGGTTAGATAGTAAATATTTGTAGGCTTTGCAGGCCACATATTTTCTGTTGCATATTCTTGTTTTTAGTTTAGTTTAGTTTTATAACCCTTTAAAAACTATAAGACCAATTCTTAGTTTGAGGACTGTTCAAAAGCAAACCACTGGTTCAATTTGGCCCACAGTCCATAGTTTATACCAAGCTTTGGCTTAGCAGAGGAAGAAAAATGAACAGTGTTTTGATAGTATTTTTATTCATTGTACAAAGCTGAAAAATAGAAAGCCATTTGAATAATTAAGTATTCTTAGTTTAATAAGTCCTATTATCAGATTATTTTTGAGACTAGAAACTGATTTTTATCTCCCAGAGGTCCAGTGCTCTGTGTGGTAATGAGCAGCAACGGTGAACAGTGTTTTAGTGGTGGCACTGATGGACTGATCCAGGGCTGGAACACCACCAACCCCAACATCGATCCCTATGACTCCTATGGTATGTGAGTCTCAAAGATATGAAAGAAGAAAATGTTTTCTTTTTATACATTGTACATAGCATACATAGGATAAAATGAGACCTTTTTGAAAATAAATTGGTGAAAGAGAACCATGTCTTTATTTTGTTTAAAAGTATTCCTAAATTTTGGCACCAATTTAATATATAATGCTAAAAGAAAAGAAAAAAGTATTCTTCCTTAGAAAACAGTTCCCACCATCCAGTCTTATTGATTCAAGATGCTGGTTTGATTGACAGTTGTTTTCCTCATTTTAGGCATCTGAACAGTACTTGATACATCATTACTAATCTGTAATCATATTTCATCAGTTTTCTAATAAACAACTTTGAAGGAAAATGCATGTTGGCCTCATCTTCTTGATCAATTATTGGAGGACTTAGAGGCTAGTAACTTTTCAAGTGCATGGCACCAAAATACCTAAAAGGTCTTCCCCGGCCTGGCGTGGCTCAGCGGTTGAGCATCAACCTAGGATCCAGGAGATCAGGGTTCGATTCCCAGTCAGGGCACATGCCCAGGTTGCAGGCTAGGCAGCCGATCAATGACTGTCTCATCATTGATGTTTCTCTCTCTCTTTCTCCCCCCTCCTTTCCTCTCTCTGAAATCAATAAAGATACGTTTAAAAAAAAAAAAAAGGTCTTAAAAATTCAGAAGTGCCCTTTATTTTGGGAACAGTACCATGAGGCACAAATCCTTATTATAATCTATCCCTGGCTATTGCCATAAAATTTTCTTACAAAAACTGGTTTAGGAATTGACTGTTTTGGTTTCCTCTTAATTCTAGAATGGTACAAAGTGTCATATTTATCATTAAGCCATATTTAATTTTCATTATCACTTTAGATTAATTTTAACACCAAATCTAAGTAAAGAAATTCAATAAGTAAAAATTTTTCTAACATTTAATAAGCATTTTACATGTTTTGTGAGAGGTGAACTTCCTCTCTCTCCCCAAATCTCTTGTGCATTTATCTGTTTCATGCTTTTCCTTACTTCCTTTATCCATCAAAAGATCAGTTGTCCTCATTTTGTCCCAAGCCAACTCTTTGGCTTTTGCTCTTGACCCGGTTCTCTGTTGTTTCCTTTGAGGCTGTAGTCGACCCTCCCCCCACTCCCCACTTCAGATCTCTCTGGCTCTCATCTTAAGCTTCTTTGTTCTTTTTCCATCCCCTCAACATGTACGTAAATTCAGGCATCACCCATCCTGGGCCAGGGGAAGCCTTTTCTGGCTGCTTTTCCCTCTGGCTTCTGTTTAGACTCTTTCACCATCTAGGTCTCTTCGGTGCTGTTGTCTAGAAAACACAATCACTAGTTACTAATTCCATGTCCTTTCCCTGTGCTCCACCATCCCTGTGCATTCCGTCTTCTGGTCATACCACTTAAGTGCAGCGAGACTTTCAGGGCTGACCCAAGGCTGTTTTACAGCCCTGTTCTGCTAGAGGTACTGGTGCTCTGAAGCTGACCACTCATCCTCTTTTAAGTTTGTCCTCGGTGGGCATTTTTGACATGTATCTTTGACAGTTTCTGTTCCCCATCCTTCGTAAACCTTTTTCCCCCTTATCTTAAATATTGGCATTTATCAGGGTCCAGACCCTAACTCGTTCTTTGCGTTGTCTACATATTCTTTTTAGATTGAATCCACTTCTATGGTTTTATGTGCTGCTGACTCATAAGTCTCCTCTTAAGCTCTAGAACATTTTTTAAGTGGCTGCCTCATTGTCCATAAATCCTCTCAAGTGCTGGGCTGCTTCTCCCATATATTATTTATTAGTTGGTGGCTCTACCAGAATTACCCAAATTAGAAAGCAACAAGTTATCCTTGATTTCTTGTTCTGTTTTACTATCTATACCTTATTAATTACTTAGTCTTTTAGATATCACTCCTAAATGTTTTTTGAATTTACTTCTGCTCTGTCCCTTTTGCCACTGCCCTTGCTTAGGTCTTCATCATCACTGTCTCCTGAAGCGGTTCCCTTGCCTTTATCTTGATTTTGTTTAGCCTGTTTTCTCTACAGCCAGAGTTACCTTATTCAGTAGGTACTTCACCCCGAAGCCCCTGGGAAACCCTTTAGTGGTTCCCTACTGCTTTTGGGATAATTCCCAAGTACCTTAATATGTTGTGGAAATCTCACTATTAAATAGCCACTCTTCGTCTCATCATTCCTCCCTCAAACTTCATACTCCATTCACTCCGAATTGCTCATTTCCTCGCTTACCATGCTGTCTTTCCTTCCGTGATTTTTGTAGGTGCCTCCTTTGCCAGGAATGGCTTTCCTCTACTCTGACTGCCCAGCACTCCCGGTGTCATTCTAAGCAGCTTTTGCTAACCCAGTTACTATCCATGGAACTGGTGTCTGCCACTGTTATTGTACTTACCACACTGTCTTTTGAGAACATGGGTGGTATTGTGTCTTAATCATCTGTGTGGTCCCAGCATCTAGAGTAGTGCCTAACACACAGTGTGTCTTCCATAAATACTCTAGGGTATGACTGAGAGAGGATATAGGACAGAGAACAGCAGCAACATTTTAAACTTAACATCTGTGAGCCATTTTGAAAGTGAGGATTAATAATTAAAGTTTCCATTTTGACTTTTATTATGAAATAGTCACAAGTGACCCACCTGCTGCCTTCTTCCTCCCTCCCCCACACACATCATTCATGTCCGTTACTGCTGTTGGAGAATTTGGGGTCCCTGTAGGTCTCAGTTCACGTCCATTATGTCAGAGCCTGTTGCTCCCAGGAGTAACTGCCATTGGTGGCACTGCAGGATAAGTGGCCTGAAGGAGTATATCCAGGGTGCTGAAGGAGTCGGAGGAGGGAAGGATCTCTGTTTACTTCCTCAGGGAATGTGAATTGTGATTTCTCTGAAGTAGCTTAAGTTGAAATGATTTATTTGTTTTAACAGACTCTTTAAAATATCTAGACAAATGGAAGAAAAAAAGGGAGGGAGAGTGAAATACCTAACTTTTTTAAATAGAAAAATATGTACTTTGTAATTTTAATTTATAAATTTTAAACTCACATTTGCATATTTCCAAGCCTGTTTTTAATTATTGAAGCACTTCAGAAAGAATAATAGATAGTCGGAAACATATTTTATTGGGTCCTTGTGTTTTCTCTGGAGTCTAAGTACCTTTATAAGTTGTTTTTTCTCCTGACTTTGCATTCTTGCTGTTTTCTGTAGATCCTTCTGTTTTAAGAGGCCCTTTGCTAGGCCACACCGACGCAGTCTGGGGTTTGGCTTACAGCGCAGCACATCAGCGTTTGCTGTCCTGCTCAGCAGATGGCACTCTTCGTCTATGGAACACAACCGAGGCTGCTCCAGCCTTAAGTGTATTTAATGATAATCAAGGTACATACCTTTTAAAGTACTTTAATGAATTTTTTATAAAATTCTTAATTATCTGTCTTACTGTAAAAATAAACATGCAAATAAATAAATGATTCCACAAACTCTTACTGTTTAAATTTAATTTGAAGGGTTTTTGAAGCAATGAAAATATATTTTGAATTTTCAACTTACTTTGTATAAGTTTTAAAAACATAGTATTTGGTGAAAGAGCATATTAAAATAATCTTTAATTGAGATATTATCTGGTTTTTACTGTATATAAATTATAAGGATACATTTTAATGAGTTTGACAAATGTATAACTCTTGCATCGAGATATAGAACATTTCCTTTACCTCCTTAAGGTTTTTCTATGTTTTTCCCAGTCAATCCCCTCTCCCCATAACCATCCAGAGTTACCCACTGTTGTGATTTCTTTCACCATAAATTAGTTTTGTCTACTATAAAACTTTATATAAATGAAATCATATAATGTGTACTCTTTCTGTGTCTGGCTTTTTACTCTCACTATATATTTTTGCGATTCATCCATGTTGTAGTAAGTGTCAATAATTTATATTGTTTAATAGTATTTTATTAAACCACAATGTGTTTATTCATTTACCTCTTAATGGACATTTGGATTGTTCTCAGTTTTTGACTATTTTGAACAAGCTGCTATGAACATTCATACGTTTTTATGATAGGTGGGTAAGGACCTGGAAGTAGAATTGTGTGTTTAACCTTGTGTGAAATTGCCAGACTTTTTCCCAGAGTGGTTGTGCCATGTTATACCACTGACAGCAACATATGAGAATTCCAGTTGTTCTATATCCTTAATCACTAACATTTGGTGTTATCAGTCTATTTAATTTTAGCCATTCTGTTGGGTGTGAAGCAGTATTTCATTGTCTTTTAATTTGCATTTCTTTGGTGGCCAATTCTTTTGAGCACTTTATTTGTGTGCTTATTGGCCATTAATATATCTTCTTCTATAATGTACACATTTTTGAACTGTTAGCTTGCTTTAGTTAGATTTTGAACCAAATGAAAAAATTATATTACATTCATATATACCTATCATTTTTTTATGTTTAAAAAGCTCTAAGTTTTAACCAAGTTTTATCTATTTTAGATAATAAATAAAAATAACCTTCTTTATTATTGAGCTGTGATAACGTGTGTCTAGGTTTTGATGAGTTGCCTGTATTTAATATTTGCATGACTACCAATAACAATTTGGAATTTTACCTTAAATTCCATGTTTTTGGTAAGTTAGAATTCCTAATAAGAGATGGGCTTTTAAAATGAAGAATTTCCATGATGCCACTCTAAGTCCCACGTTGAGGTAGAAGCAGCAAAACTTGTAGTCTATATCTGTTTCCATTTACTTTTTAAATAAAGGCTTGCATTTCGTATATATGTTAGCTGAGTAACAGGTAGATGTGCTGAACAGGTAAGAGTAATGAAATAGGCTAGGTCTAAAAGAAAAAAAGACATAATCTCCATTGAATGGCAGTGAGCAAATTCTTATCCTAATGTCGAGCCTTATTTACTCCTTAAGGAAATCATGCTATTTGTTTTGCTATATTTTAAGCACACTGTTGAATAACCCTCTAATTATCATTCTCTTTGAATATGTTTTGACTTTTTTAGAATTTGGAATCCCTGCCTCTGTGGATCTAGTGAGCAGTGACCCGAGCCTTATGGTAGCATCATTCAGCAAAGGATATACAAGCATCTTTAACATGGAAACACAACAACGCATTCTCACTTTAGAATCCAATCTAGATACGAGTACGTATGATAGTCTTTAGATAGTCTTCATCAAAATGTTAACTTCTAGAGTTGACTATGGAAAATACTTGTCATTATAAAGTCTTCTGCCTACTAAATCACAGAACATAGTAGTTATGTAGAAGGATATGATGATTTACAATTGATTTTAAGTCTTTGAGGTAAGTGTATGCACATTTTTAACTATAACATTTGAAATAACATTTGACTTATGCCAAAGAGGAGTCAAGTTAATTTCGTGCCAAATGATTAGTTTTCAATTTTGTTTGAAGAAAATATTTATTCTGAATATAAGATATTTTTCCTTTCTCATAAT